CGGCGCGGTTGGTGACCGCCGCTGCCCTGGCCTGCACCAGCCGGCTGAAGGCCGTGCCTTGGTGCAGGCCCGCTGCCCCCAGCAGCCCGGACTGAGATGTTTCCTGCTGTGGGCCTGAGCTCCCTCTGCCGTCACCCTGCGATGGAGATGGGTGTTTCTGTCTGCAGCCCTTTTTGCCTTAATCACCAGAAGACTTGCTTTTATTTTGTGGTACTCTTAGATAGCTGTCAACTCCTCTTTTTACTCCTGATTTTGAACCCTTCACAACTGAAGTTTTGCCTCTCAGTTAGGAAAACGCTGGAAAAGGAAAAGGTCTGCACCAGTGCATTCCTCTGGGCTGCTGGGAGAGAGAGAAAGGAGTGGTTTGTGCATCGTCTTGCCAGTGGTAGGCTCCTCTAACCTCGTGTTTCTGTTTTTCTTTTGGTCCTCAAGAAAGAGAAATCCAAATCGAGTAGCAGCACTACCCGAGAGCCCAATGGCTTCCCTGCTGACACCTCTGCCAACTCCTCTCTCCTCCTGGAGTTCCAAGGTGAGTCTGGCTGAACCCCCTTCAAGCAAAGACTCTAAGGCCTTATAGAAGCTGGGATGTTTCTGGCTTATGTATGCTACACGTATTGGGAAGAGCAGTGTCTGTCTTCAGTGCAGAGTTGTGCTGATCCGCTTCTGGACTGTCACTGCTGAAGCAGCTCATCTGTGCTGTCAGCAAGAATGATAATCATTTGCTTCTGGGATCTTCCAGTGGGAAACTTCATGAGGAGCTGGAGGAGTGGGGGTTCCTGTCCCCACTTTGCAGTTCCTGCTGGGGAGAGGCCAGCAGCTGCCTGCAGCTGAGCCCCCTGCTTCCAGCAGTGACTTGCACCAAACTTAAGATGAAAGGGCAGAGGATCTCCTTGACCTTGCTCTTGATCCTGGGGCACTGCAACCAGCTGTGAGCAGGTTGGGCTCTGTGGTGGAGCCAAGCAAGACTCAGGCAGCACGTGGACTCGCTGCTGGAGCATGGTGTACGCCTGTCACCAGCCTCTCTACTCGGCTCTCAGTGCAGTAGGTGCGGTGAGGAGCGTTGCAGGTCTGCAGTTTGGGGCTGCCACTGGAAAAGATGTGTGCCAGGATTGCCTCCCTGTGTCGGGGCAGGTGCTGGGCTTTGCTGCTGCTGTGAGATTGCTGCCTACCAAACAGAAGAGATACAAAACCCTGCTACACAGGCAAGAGGTCTCCTACCCTTGAATGCCTGGGGCCCTCGCAAGCTGCAGACATGAGATTTGGCAGCGCAGCACTTCGTATCACCCCTGTGTCTTCTCCTGTTCTTTCTGGATTTCCCGGGGTCTGCTCAGACTCAGTCCCCATTCCTGTGGGCCAGTTGTGTCTCTGATGCCAGCTGCGTCCTGGTGGGGAGTCCCATGCCCAGCAGTGCTTACGTTGATCTGTGGTGGTGAATCCCCTGTACTGTAACTGCCTCTGACTGTGCTCTTTGTCTCCCTAAGACCCCGGCTCTCAGTGCCGCCCTCGGCTGCCCCTGGGTCAAGGTGCTCTTCTTCACTAGGTGCTGTTTCTGCAGATGAGAACAGCAACCAGAGCTCCCTGTCTGATGTCTACCAGCTCAAGGTGGACAGCAGCCCCAACTCCAGCCCCAGTCCCCAGCAAAGCGAATCCATGAGTCCTGCCCACACATCCGACTTCCGCACGGACGACTCGCAGCCACCCACACTGGGGCAGGAGACACTGGAAGGTGGGTGCTGGGCTGGGAAGGGAGGAGGTGATGGGTGGGCCCAAGGAGGGTCCTGGTGGAGCGTTGGTTGTCCAGTGGGTGACTGAGACGCTGCTGGAAGCGGGCAGGGCAGCAGGGAGTTGTGTCTTCTGCTGGAGGCTGCCTCTCCTGGCTCTGCACTGAGCTGGATACCGCCGTGCTCCTGGGTCGGCAGTTCCATTAACCCTTCTGTTCTCCCCAGAGCCCTCCCTGCCTTCCTCGGAAGTTGCAGACGAGCCTCCCACTCTCACAAAGGAAGAGCCAGTCCCCCTTGAGACTCAGGTAAGGGAAGGGGGATTGGAACCATGTCTATGGACCCAGCTCGGCCCTTTCCCTCTTGTTGCTGCCCCTTGTAGCAGAATCATCTAAATAGATGGACTTGCTCTGCAGTCACAAGGTGCACTCCAGGAGCTCCCCAAACCTCCCGGCTTCCTGATCTGTGCCCTGGGTCAGCTCAGGTGTTAAAAGTGTGAAGAAGGGATGAGGAGGTGGAGTAAAACGGCAATTCTAGCTGATTCTGGGGCTGAAGTGGGTTTCCCACTCCTGATCCCTTGGAGGTTCCTCACAGATGAAAGCCCAGGGTGTCCCCACAGCATGACACAGGTACGCTGAGCTCCTGCACTGCCCGTCAACTCTGCCTCTTCCTCTTGCAGGTAACTGAAGAGGAGGAGGACTCCGGTGCGCCGCCTCTGAAGAGATTTTGTGCCGATCAGAACTCTGTGTGCCACACGGCCTCGGAGAGCTAGCCGGCCTG